GCAGATCACCATCGCCTAGGCGATCTCCCAGGCGTCGATCCCCCTGGTATGGGATCATTCCCAGTCGTGACACTGGTCTCTGGCTCCCCGGTACTGCTCTTCAGGCAGGCTTTGGTCCTCACCCTCTCCTTATTGGTCGCAGACGAAGGTCAGCCGATAGACTCGGGCATCTACGGCTCTGCCCTGGTCGCCGGAAGGGCAGTGGTCCGAACCAGAGGGAGAGTTCAGCCCTTCACCTATGAGAGCCGAATCACTGATGGCCCCCAAGACAGGCAGGGCACTGGCAGCGACAGTGTGGCAGCAGGGGCAGCGGCCCGCCCAGTGGCAGTACTGGAGCCCGTGAGGTGGACCTGTCATGCCAGTCCCATACTCCCACCATTCCTCTCAGGCCACATCGGACTAACTGCCTCTGGCACAGTTGGCACCTGAATCAGAGCATGGTGTAGAATCCGACGCAGGGGCAACACAACGGGCCCTGACGCCCAAGCAGCCATCCCCAGACGAGCAAGGGGAAGCCACCCCTCCCCCTGCTGTGTAGTCGTCTTTGTCGTCTCCGGACGAAGCAGTGGCGGGCCTCTCACAAACGAGTAGTCCCCCTAACGACTTCCAGGAGTACCAGGCCCTGCTCAAAAGGGTGGCTGCCAACCTGAACTTGGAGATTGAGGAGCTAGCGGAGGAGTCCGATGACCTCTTTAAATTCATACCCTCCTCCACCCCGGCCCGGGTCACGTTGCCCGTCCACTCATAGGTCCTTAAAATTGCCAAGTCTGTGTGGTAGACCCCCCCCCCTTCCATTCCGCCTACCTCCAAGAAGGCGGAAAATAAGTACTATGTCCCTTCAAAGGGATTTGAATACCTGTATACCCACGCTCCAGCGCGGGGTCCCTGGTCGTGTCCGTCGTCAACGAAAGGGACAGGCAGGAACAGGTGAGTGGCACACCGAAAAATAAATACGCCAAGAGGCTGGACTTGTTTGGTGGGAAAATTTATTCAACAGCCAGCCTGCAAGTTAGGGTTTCTAACCATCAGGCCCTGCTAGGCAGGTACAACTTCAACCTGTCAGACTCCATCAGCAAGTTCAAGGAGGACCTTCCACAGGACCGAGCCCAGGAATTCACCGCTTTGGAGGAAGAGGGCAAAGCGGTGGCAAGAGGCACCCTCCAGATGGCCTGGGACGCTACGGACTCGGCAGCCAGGGTGGTCGCCTCTGCGGTGGTCATGAAGTGCAGCTCCTGATTGCAGTCCTCAGGGCTGTCCCAGGAGAGGCAGACTACCCTTCAGGACCTCCCATTTGAAGGTGCAGGGCTCTTTTTGGATCTGACCGATGCATGGCTCCATGGCCTTAAAAACTCCCGCGCCACCCTCTGTTCCTTGGGCCTGCACACCCCTCAGCAGGCTAGAGAGCCGTTCCATCCTCTGCCTCTGTCGAGGGCCTGGGGTTCTCACAAGCAACTCCTCATTCAGGAGATTGATAACCTCCTATGCCCGGGGGCAGTAGAGGAGGTCCCTTCAGACTTGAAGGGGAAAGGGTTCTACTCCTGCTATTTCCTAATCCCAAAAGCAAAAGGGGGCCTCAGACCCATTTTGAACCTGCGCCGTCTCAACAAGTCTCTCAAGTAGTTAAAGTTTTGCATGATCTCTCTGGCCTCCATTATCCCCTCTCTGGATCTGAGAGACTGGTACACTGCCCTCGACTTGAAGGATGCATATTTCCGTTTTCCTGGGGCACAGGTGTTTCTTCCGTTTTGTGTTGGGCCACTGCCATTTTCAATTCATGGTGCTGCCCTATGGTCTCTCATCAGCCCCGAGAGTGTTTACAAAGTGCATAGCACCAGTGGCCGCTTACCTGAGGCACCAAGGTGTACAGATTTATCCATACCTTGATGACTGGCTAATAAAGGGCTGGTCCGGGGATCAGGTGCAGCAGCATCTTGATCTGGTTTGTTCCACCTGTCGCGATCTGGGGCTGTTGATAAACAAGAAAAAAATTGACCTTAATTCTAGTACAACGCATAGAGTTCATTGAAGCTGTCCTTGACTCTACTCTGGCCAGAGCCTTCCTCCCTGAGGCTCGGTTTCAAGCCATGGCAGACCTGATCTTGTGCACGCAAGGCCACCCTCTCGCCACCACTCATTGAAAGGACTAAGCCATTCCGCAAGTCAACGCAATTGTTTGCCACTGTGGCCAACAGGATGAAAGGTCGTCCAGTGTCTGCTCAAAGAATGTCGTCTTGGATCACTGCCTGCATTCGCTGCTGTTATGATCAGGCAAAGGTGCCACCTCCGGCAATCGTAACTGCCCACTCAACCAGGGCACAAGCCTCTTCGGCAGCTTTCCTAGTCCAAGTGCCTATTCAGGACATCTGTAGGGTGGCCACCTGGTTGTCCATCCACACGTTCACATCCCATTACGCACTTACCCAGCAGGCTCGGGTTGATGCTGCCTTTGGTAGAGCAGTACTGCAACCCGCTAGGCTGTGAACTCCAAGCCCACCTCCGAGGATACTGCTTGTGAGTCACCTAGAATGGAATCGACATGAGCAAGCACTCGAAGAAGAAAAATGGTTACCGACCTTTCATAACTGTTGTTCTTTGAGATGTGTTGCTCTTGTCGATTCCATTGCCCGCCCTCCTGCCCCTCCGTTGGAGTTGCCGGCAAAAAGGAACTGAAGAACTGGCATAGGGTCGGCAGGGCCTAATATACCCATGCATGCGCTCATCTCCTTCAAATACCTTCACCCTTTTCCCCATGCTGCCACTTGGGTGGGGAAAGACTCCCTGTCAAAATTCGTAAAGGCACCCCCTTATTCTCCTTCAGGATCCTCCTTAAAACCGTGATGTATACAGAAAACTGCCATTTGAGAATGGCGAAGCAGGTGGGAAATTGCGATTCATGCTACTAATTGGCTACAAATTGTTCAAACAGTTAATCCATGTTAAAACATCCACCATGGGCAGAGACTGTCAGTTACTCTGTGCAGTGTCTAGCACAATGGGGCCCCAACCCTGGCTTGTCTCTGGGCACTACCACAATTCAAACGTTTAATAATCATCAGATCTTTGTTCCTTCATCCTCCCCTATGCCCTCCCCAACTCATTTGTTTATTTCATCCACCCATTGTGTCTTGTCTTTTTTAGATTTTAAGTCCTTTGGGGTGGCGGATGTATGTTTGTGGCTGAAGCTTCTAGAGCCTACCAAAATATAAATGATAATAAAGATACAAAAGTTGGCATGCCAATAAGTTCAAAGCTCATAGGTGCAGGCAGATTCCAGCTGGTCATACAGAGCATTCCTTTCCTCTCAGAGTAGCACTGATTTTTATTTATTTTTTTTACAATCCAGGCTTGAAGTAGATCATTCAGTAACATTAGTAGGAGCTGCTATTCCAGCCTTCTAGAACAGACAGTTTGAACAGAATGACCAAACTAGGTACCTTGAAAAGCAACAATTCAGAATTTTGAGTATCTGATCCACCTCCAGACCATAACACTTCCAGAGCTCCTACCTGGAAAACGGTGCAACTTGCAGATACATGACAACACTGATGTCACTCCTGGAAATACAGTGTATTATTAACAGTCATCTTCTTTGAGAAATGGAACACCTTGGTGTTCATTGTCCCACACATGTGAGCTGAGGTTTCTGGGGTACCCACAGGACGATGGTTGTAATAGTTAAACCATCTTGATTGCATACTGTACCTACAGCAGCAAACTGGTAGAGACATAGACGTGCTCCAGCAGCTCTTGGAGCACTCCTCATCAGTAATCATGTATGTGGCTGGAATAAAGGGCTGTCCATGATGGGCTAGTGTGTTTCTTTTTGGTGATCTGTATGTCAGAGGTAGTATGTTGCTGGGGTTATTTTCAAAGCATCTTATTTTTTTAGATAAATACCACAGTAAACAATGACACAAGCCTTCAATTCGTAAATGGGCAGAGTACTATTTAATGCTGTGTTATATACGACCTACAAATATGGCTTGAAAATGTGTTGAGTGCCCAAATGAACAGGAAAAAGGGGCATTTCAGCACATGTCCTGTGCTTACCAGCCTTTCACTTTTAGCTCTGAAGTAGAGGTGTGGTGATAGTGAGATACTGCAGCATGTCCCCCAGGTGGTGATGTTACACCCGGTAGGAAAGGGCATTGTAGCTAGCCTAGCTAGCCTATTTGGGTGATGGAAGTCCGGTTTGTTTTCCAATACTGTACAGTAGGGGCGTTTGAAGTATATTATACAGGGTATAAAATAATACTGTTAACCTTTGCTGTATGGGAAATAAAATGATTGACCGGTAGAGAACAGGTTCCAGCACTCTTGGGCTCTAGTATACTGAAATGTCACACTAGCAGGATTTAGTCATTACATGGGAAAGGTGCTTCACTTCATTGACCTGCCAAAAAAAGTAAGAATTAGAAAAATGTTGCTATGTGTCTTATCTTGTTTGAGGCATCCAGCCCAACAACTTTCATGGCTCAATTCTGTTCCTGTGGAAGTCAATGGAAAGCGCCCCATTCCCATCATTGACTTTAATGGGAGAAGGATTTGAACCTTAAAATTGTAGCAAATAATTATTCCTGTCCTCTGAGGTCCTGAGTCCCTCCTGTGAGGTACAGAGTAGCCTCAACTCCCATAGATATAAAGGAGTATTTAGGGCACTCAGCACTTCTAAGGATTGGCCCAATAACTGCACTTTCGCTTGTCACTTTGACATTTTTCTTTCTTGCTTTTTTATTGGAAAAATAGGGGAAATATATCTGATATTTTCAAGTGTAATATCCCCTTTGTCTGATTGCATCCTCTTGAGGGTCTGTAATTGAGAGGGAAAGGACAAGTTTGTGAAATGCAGAAGCCTAAACCCAACATAGGTCGATGGTGAAAACCTTGTGTAATCTGTGTCTTAATTTTAAATAGACCAAAGCCTAAACTGTAGTGTAGCGGCCTTCTTTTAAAAGGATAAAATCATCAAAAAGTCCAATAATATTTTTATTTCTTTACAGATAATCCTGAAATAATCAGCAGGAATGGAATGGAATGTCAAGAGACCTCATTGAGAATGGCAAAACATTGTTATTGTACATACTATCCTGTCTCCTCCTCTCTAGAATTGCCACAACCTGCATGCTAAGTAAAGATTTTGTTCTTATGGACAGATCAGAAATTCTAAAAAGCTAGTGCTGCTGTATTATATATGAATATTACATATGGTATGCTTAATATATTCCAACCTAAAATAGTTAACTACCTGATACCAGCTGTGATGTTTCAAGACATAAAGGGTAACATTTTACTTTTAAAGATTTTATAAACACAGTTTACTTCATAGGAATATTTATTATCTCCATAACTATAGGTAATGCAAATGGCCCCATTAATTTAGTATCATAAGATTCACAATTTTATGAATCTTTCAAGTTTAGCAATAATTAATTTACATTGGCTAAAATATATCCCAGTTGCAGGTTTGATTTTTAACCCTAATTATTGTTATTGTAACCGAGCAGAAAAACCAGAAGTCCTATGTTTACTACCCTAGTCACCTGACTCCAATACAAAGAAAGGAAGTGAAACAAAACCCAGTACCCTGCTCATCACCCTGTAAATCTAAAATTTTAAATAGTAAATCCAACGTAAAGCACAAATTCTTTAGATACACATAAGCTGATATTTGACTTGTATAGAGAAGCTGCATTGAATCATGGGACAGCAGAAAAAAATTAAAACTTTGCACGGTATGAACTTCATACCCCCAAACAACAGAGTCTTGAAAATATTATTTTACGAGTATATTTATAACGTTTTTAAAAGAGACTTTGCAGAAGTGCCTAAATTTTGCCACATCAGACTTGAAGGAAGTGAGGCTGATGCCAACAATCTAATCCACAATAAGTGACTAATCTTTTAAACTCTCAGTCAGGTTACCTAAAAGAACCAAGTTGCTGTTGAGGTAACTTCTATCAAGAGCAACAACAACAAAAAGGCTGTAGGTGAGGAGATTTGTAAGATATCCTAATTTAACTAAAATTGAGTTCAGTCACTGAAAACCTGATAAGTGACTTTAATCTAGATTATTAACTAAACATTAAAAATGTAGGGAGAGTTTCAGTTTAATAAATCATTACAGTTCTTGCATTTTTTAAAATTGGATTAAAGGGTTGTAACCGGATTACAGCATGGAGGGGGGGGGGAAACTAGTTATTTTAACCTTTTTCTTTAAAAACATATTTTATGTCACAGAAATATGAAGATATCTTTAATACAACTATATACATATTATATATATACATACATACATATATATGGATGAAACAGATTTTAATGTTTACTTTTTTAAATACATTGTTGATTTACAAGGTAATTACATATGTACAATTAAAATTTCATTTAGGTTTGGTTTAAGATTTGTTTCCAGCACTACTGTACCAAATATTTCATATTTTACATTTTGTATGTTGCACACGTCACAAATACGTAGTTTTTAAATTATTGTTTAAAAATGAAAACAGCTGTTATAAGTGAATATTATGTATAATTGTTGGCAACATCAGTTTTCTATGTGGACATAGTTTGTGATTGCAGTATTTTAACCTTTTCAGATTGATTGTAAACTATTTTAAACTTTGGCAGCACTGCCTTTTCTGAAAGGCACTAGAGGCACTAACGGTATGATTAGTTGTCTAGGAAATTATTTTCTGTTCTAAATTTTGTTTGTCAAATGTCTAATTGCTATCTATTTATATTAAAGCTGTAGATCTGATCACCCGAAAGAGAGAAAAAAAATCACAATCTGATTGTAAAATTAACATAGTGGTTGTAATGTTGCATTTGTTTTATTATGTGGAAAAAAATGTATCTTAACTCCTGTTACTTTAGCAGTTAAGGTATCACCATTATGTACTATTGAAACACTAATATTTGTAGACTTTCTCAGTCATTATAACTAGGTAGTTGACATTGCAACTTGCCTATATCTGTCAAAGTTGTTTTTATTTGTTTTTAATAATAGTTCATTTAGACATTTTGGTAGCTTATTGTACAAGACTAAATGGTAAATTATCCAGATTGTTTAAATATTTTATGTAGAGGACTGTTTAAAACATTGTTTTGTGCAAACTTTTTATGTTTCATGATAATTATTCTATAGTTTTTTACAATTACTTCAGTACTACTATTTTTTGCCCATTCGTGACAAAGCTTCAGATACATCAGGTCTTGCATTCAGACAAACCTACAAAACAAAAGAGAAAATGTATTTTTAATACGAGATCCACTTTCCAACTTTATAACTTTGTGATATTCCTAAAAACTGTACAAGAACAGATCTGTGCTAACATAAGGAGGCAATTACACAGATGTGCAAATAGATGTTCAACAGATTCTGCATTTTATTTATTAACAAATAATTTTTAGAACAATTACAAATTTGGGAAGATCTAAAACTATTTTTCTGTATAAATATTATTTGCCAAAACTTTTTATATATTTTAAAAAGAAACTATAATGATGATGAGTAAACATTAAATGCTTTATTTAATTAAAATAAATAAACTCCCCAGAAAGAACCATGAGATGGGCCAACATTGAGATAGTAAATACTATAGCTGAGACGTGATTTCAAGTTACTTGAGATGTCTCAGTATTTATTTTCTATAAATGAAACAGCACTTCACCAAAATACCTTATCATTTGCCTCTTTCATACAAAATGTAATTGACTGCACTTATACTGAATATTTCAATAACAGTTAAAGAAATCCCTTCTTTCATGCCTTTCACTGTAACCATTAGCAATCTGTTAAATATCCATTATATTTTTGTTGTAACATTAAATTCATTCACCCAATGTGCAACCGCTCAAATAAAAAGAAGCATTTTAAAATGATTGCAGCAGCACAGCATTCTTTCATTGTTGTAACGTTGAGAAGAGTAACTAGTACAACAAGTAAAGAGAGCCAAAAATCAAAAGAAGATGAGCATGGTATTTTTTAAAACCATTTTTTGATTGTGGCAAGTAACAGAAATGAAATATCCTAAAATGAAATGATCTGGCTCAGGATGAGCAAACATGACTTGCAGGGGGATGGAATTCTCCTTTTTTCCTCCTTCCCCCAGTCAGCCGGAGCTATTACAGCAGCATCCACAACTGCTGTGCACATCATCTCTAGGAGGGAATTTGCATAGTGTATGTATGTAGTTGCAGATCTACTAGCCTTGCCCCAATCCTGAGAATGCCTCTCTCTGCCAGGCGTGGGTTCCCTACCCATCAGTTCCACTGCACTGAGGCTTGGATCCACAAAGGTATTTGAGCACCTAACCCCCAGACTTAGGCACCTAAGTCACATTTTAGGCATGACTGCATTCCAGAAAACCCCATCTGGCTCGACTGCCACATAACCGTGTAGGTTCAAAAATGCACTCCTAAGGTTTTGCATTAGAAGTTGGTTAGGTGTTCTGTTTCTGCCTCTGGGCATGCACACTGCTGTCTCCCTCTAAGCCCCAAAGCAATTCACAAACCAGGGGAAGATAGACTATCTTATCTTGTCTTGCCAAGGGACGCAATCCAACAGGTGTGCTCAGAGGCCACCCAACTCCACACACAAAACAGCTGGGGGTGGGGGAAATAACCTCCTTTATAACCTTTAGCCCAGAGCTTAAGGTACTAACCTGGCTTGTGGGAGACCCTGGATCAAGTCCTTCCTCCACCTGATGAGGAGAAGGGATTTGAAGAGGGGTCTGCTGCCTCTCAGGTGGTTGTTGTAACCACTCGGCTATAGATTATGTCTCATTCTCTTACTGGCCTAATTAATATTTAATTATTATATTATTTAATTGAAGTGGAACAACTTCAACAGGAACGACAGCAGGCGCTCCACATCGGAATATTCCACAGCCCAGTGGTTAGAGCACTCAGCTGAGAGGTGGTAGATTCCTGTGCAAATCCCATCTTGTCAGGCAGAGGGGGTCACCCACATCCCAGGTGAGTACCCCATCCACTGGGTTAAAGGCTATAAGGGACCTCCTCCTCACCCCAGCCACTGAGCTAAATGTTATAAAGGAGGTCCTTCCCAACACCCACTTCCCTGCTGCTTTGGGCGGAGTTAGGTGTTTGTCTAGTTCATTCTCACCAGAAACAACTTAGCCATCTAAGTCACCTGACTTCAGTAGAGGGGTTCCTGTCTGTGGATCACCAGTAGAAATAGCACCTCCCTGTCACCTGGACTTAGGTGCCTATCTCCGAGAGGGGCGGAGTTTAGGACACACCCTTTTTTTCGCATAGCCCATTGGCTAGCTTAGGCAGCTCCCCGCCTAGCATGCTGGCTTTGTGGATTGTGTTCAGAGGTGCCCGTCTTTCCCCATTCATTGTACAGGAGCCAAGGGGCCTAGCTCAGGCTTTGTGGACTACGTTGTTGCAGTGATTTTCTAGGTGCCCAAAAGGTATGTACTGCAACAGCGAGCATTGCACCACCTAAGTCCCTTTGTGGATCTGGGCTTGAGGGCCTTCCAGGGGTTTACCTCTACCAGAACAATTACTTTATGCCACTTCTGTCAGTATACACACTGTTGTGTACAATGACACAATTGTCATCTGTGCAATGTAGCTCACAGATGTATTGAAAAAATGATATTTACACATTATGTGGCCTTTTTCCTACATAGATCTCTCAGTCTTTTATAAAAGTGAGTAAACATGAGTGTATCTGCATTTTCCCAAAGGGGGAAGCAGAGTCTCATAGAGATTATTTGCCCAAGGCCTGAGATTACACAGCAATCGAATGATAGAGCAGGGATTAAAATTCCTGGTTCACAGTCCCATGATCTGTTTACAAGACCATGCTGACATATGAATCTTCAGTAGCAGGGCAGAACCCATTGCATTCAGTGTAGAGAGAAACAAACTTGCTTAGGGACAGGCTTATTCTTCATTCAAAAAGAGCAGAAATAAATAAAGGGCTGTCACTCCTTTTGTCAGAATCCAAGGATTGGCATGAAGGCTTCTGACCCCCTAGAATGGTCACTCTTGGTCAGGATGAATGAGGAGTGCTGGCCAGGCAGCGTGAGGAAGCACACGCAGCAAGTGCAGTGCCAGTTCCATTGCAAATAAAACTTTGTTCTCTAGAGTTGTCAATTTTACACCTTTTGTGAACACTGCATTCACTTGTTAAATGGCTATCAGAAGAAATAAAACCCCGCAGGGCAAGGAGCGTTTGTACCATCAACAATGAGAGCTAGTTAGAGAGGAACCCGATGTCTCAGTGATTCTGGAAAAACACCAGGCGAGCCTGTCCAATGGCAGGTGTTTCAAGCTCAATGCTTGTCAAGGAAGAGTGTGTTTGGGTAAGGGGAGGAATGGAAGGGCAGAGGCCTGCTAGGGACATAGTAAAGAGAAAGGCATGAAGATGATTTCAGAATTCATTAATTGAATTACTAAAACGTCTCAGCTTCACCTGGTTCTATTTACACTTTCACACGAGACCCCATCCTGCTGTAAGTATTTGGACAGCTGACTGCTGCCAAGAAGGCTCAGGAAATGTTGGTGTTGATTTTAATTTTTAAAAAACCTTATTTTCATATTTTCATATTTCAATATTTATGCCTGTATCTGTAATTTTCACTCCATGCATCTGAGAAAGTGGCATTTTTAACCCACGAAAGCTTATGCCCAAATAAATCTGTTAGTCTTCAAGGTGCTACCGGATTCCTCATTGTTTTTGTGGATACAGACTAACATGGCTACCTCCTGATACTTGGCGCCTTATTTTCATGTCAGTTAAGAAGGGCTTCTCGCTCCCATGCCTTCTGAACTTCCTCTCTTCTGCTGAGCTTAACTCTATAGCCAAGTTCTATGTTTTGACTAGTAAACCTACCTTACCTCAGGTAATTGTGGGGTTTCAAAAATGAAACAAAGCACTTTAAAGAGATGAGGAGTCGTAATTATTAGGTATTTCCACCAAGTTCCACCCAAGGCAAAAGGTAACCCAGTGTTGTTTATGACCACTGTAGTGTGCAGAGGGTTGAATTAGTCTTCTGCTGAAGATATTTCCTTGTTTAAACTCAACAGATTTTTGAAAATGCCTCCATCTTTTTGGTATCAGGTTATTTGCATAGTATGCTCCTTGTTTCCTTTGAAAAGCCTCTTTTCTGGGTCTATGATTTCCTTTTCAAATGCCATGTTAAGATTACATTTTTGGCTGTGACTTTTTTTTAATGGTTCAACATTATTTGTATTGCTTTTGTTAGAAGGTACATTCTGGAATATACTATCAAAGTGATTAAAATTTCTGGTAAACAGAATGGAGGGGCTGATAAAGATTAACATGGAATTCATAGCTGTGTTATCTTTCAGTGGATACTAACATTAATTTGAAATGTTATAAGAAAATGTTTCCTACGTCAAAGAAAAGAGAAATAAAAATGTTTTGAAATGTGAAAGGAAGATGAGTGGCATGAAACTGAGAAAGGAAAGGTTAAAAGCAAGAAAGGACTGTCTGTGCCATGTTGTGCAGTTGTGATATTTCCACCAAAGGGGCTTGAAGAATTATGTAGATACTAGTGAATACATTGTTTTATAAAAATGAACATAGTGGGTTACAATGGCCTTTCACCTCTGAAGAGCTGAGTTCAAATCCTAGTTTCAGGTGGAAATAAATTTAGTGAGGCTTTTCCTAGTCTTAGTCCACATCACAAACCAGTACAGTTTAGCCTGAATGATAATAGAGTCACAGGATCAAAATAGCACAAGGTCACCAGATACCCTTGTGATGCAAGGGTGATATAGATAGGTCAGGATTCACATACGTTTGAGGAACTAGGTGGGGGGATGGGCTGAACTTGAGCCAAGCCAAAGCTAGTTCTGTACTTTCATTAGCAATACATTTGCTTACATTTCATGGAAGGGTGTGGCAGGGAAGCAGAGGTGTTTTCTTCTCCTTTGTATGAAAACAGTTACTCATCTGAGAGCAAATGGACTTTTCAATAGGTGTTAGACATTAGAGTCAGTGAGCCTGGAGTTAGCAGCTAGCAGTGCTATTCAGAACTAATGCCAAGTATCAGGGGGTAGCCGTGTTAGTCTGTATCTACAAAACCAACAAGGAGTCTGTTAGTCTTTAAGGTGCCACCAGACTCCTTGTTGTTTTTATTCAGAACTAATAGATACCACTTTTCAGCTTGAGGCAAATGCAGATGTTTTTTCTCATGAAGAAATCGTTTTGATTTCTAGCACTGTCAGCCACAAGTAACCAGCACTAAAGCCAGAAATTATGATGAATTTTACAGTATTGCCAACCCCAAACATTCAAAAATCCTGAGTTAACACCCCAAAATCATCAGATTGGCTTTAAAACCTCATGATTTTTTAAAAAATCATGAATGTTGAGTTCTATTTATTTAACATCTGGTTTTTGAATGTTTAGAATACTCAGGTCATTTTTAAAGCTTTTCTCCCCACCCATGAGGGCCCAAAAACATACTTACAAAACGGAGATCCCCATGCATTCATATGACTCCAAGAGGTGGGGCTTAAGAAAAATATCATATATCATGACACTCATGATAAAATATGAAAGTTGGCAACACTGACATTTTTATAAGGTTTGTTTTCTTTGGGATATTATCTCTCATTCTGACAGAGATGGGAAATGCATGGGTGAAGAGGGGATATCAGTATGGTAAGTCTTTGTCAGATAGCACCACCTTGGGGTCTCTCAGGCCTGGTCTTCACATAGTTTTTGTACTGTTATAACTATGTCTGTTAGTGCCGTGATTTTTTTACCAATATAGTTGGTCAACAGGACCCCTAGTGTTGATGCAGTTATACAAGTATAGCTTATTCCCTATTCCATGGGAGTAAGCATGGGCGATGTGTGAGCCCCCCCTTCAGGGAGG